TCTCTCTCTAGGATGAAACATAATCACAGACTGAAACAGATAAGTCTGCTCCTGTAGCTCTGACACCATGTGATTGTGTGTTTGTGCGAGCCACTGATGCATCAGAAAAAGATTATCATCAGATTTAAAAAAGAGATTTATTGAGACTGATCCCTAGAAAAAATGACTGTCACAGTTTCCTTTATCATAAGCAAAATTGAGACTGATCCCTAGAAAAAATGACACATTTTCCTTTATCATAAGCAAAAAGCTATAATGACTTAAATAATAATAAATATAACATTTTACATTTCTAAGCTCTTGTGTGATCGATTACAGTCTGAATTACGGGATTAATAGGAACGTTTTCAGCAGCTCATCCTAAGGTTTGACACTCAAGGTTTGTGTGAGTGCCTGAGAACTTAAAGCAAAAACGCAAAACAAATTGGTATTTTATGAAAACAATAAAAAAAAAAAACCCTGATACTGCGGTGTTGAGTTGTTGTTCCTTTGGACACTTTTGTCTCTATTTCTCTCTGTCCTCTCTGTTGGTCTCACATTCTGCTGAGCTGGATTTTACTGGGACATCAGAGACATTCTGTGCTGAATATTTAATGAGGCTCATGAGGTGCATGAGGTTCAAGATTTATCTATCGCACTGTTGTTATCAGCTTTCCTCACTGTTTACAAGGTCAATCATAGCGCGTGTGTCCCCCTCTCTCACATACACACACACACACAACCAATCGTGTGGCTTTGGTGTATGTAGAGAGTTTAAAATCGCACCCTCTGACCACATATTGGTTTGGTATTGATTTTGACTTTTGAGTGGTGGACGGATACTTAAATATTGTTAACTCCCCAAACTTCAGGAGCTGCACAGACACTGAGGAGTCGAGAAGAAAATATGGCAGAAATGAGTTTTAACCTGAAATGCGTGATTTTCATTTTCTACCTGTTTATGTTTTAAACAGATGCTTGTAAACCCATCACCAGTCAACACCAAAATTCCATGAAGAAAGTGAAACGCTACTGGACTATCGCTGCCTCCTGTGGTCAGTTTGCATTACTGAGATGAGTCACAGAACATTTTTAAAAACGGCGATGGATGCAGCGTTTTAGTACCAAGATGAGTCACAGAACATTTTTAAAAACAGCGATGGATGCAGCGTTGTAGTACCATATTTTCCGGATTATAAATCGCTCTGGAGCATGAGTTGCACCAGCGCCTTCTAGTGGCTGTCAGTGTGAAAATAACAAAAATGTTCATTTTTCAGAGGTACAGAAGTAGCAGATACTGGTACACAAGTCTAGAGTGCCCTCTAGTGGCTGTCAGTGTGAAAATAAACATGTGAAATTCTATATTTGAATAAATACGTTGCACCTGAGTATAAGTCACGAAACGAGCCAGAAGATGAAAAAAGTGTGACATATATTCTGGAATATAAGGTACTTCGATGTAAAACCAGTGATTTTCTCAATGAACTTTGATGCGTGAAACAAAATAGAGAATGCATATGAGGAGATCATATGATCAGCTTGCAATGATATATGGTTCAAACATGAGACCTTCACTCACAGACGCACAGAGATCACATGATAAGACAACAACAAAAAAAAAAAATCCCATAATTTATTGTCTGCCTCTGCATACACAGCCGGAAAATGAACAACACATGTACAAACACGCACGCCAACACCCACACTCCAGCCTTCTGATAAACTTTGTTTTAATACTCACATTGAAGCTGAACTTCTTCTGGTTTGGATTCAAATTGGTGACACTGAAGCAGAGAAGACTGATCTGCAACTCTGACTCCGGCAAACAGGAAGTGACAGAGGGGCTGTGGGTGGGAGCCGAATCTTCTGGTGTTCCCCCTCTTAGGCATGTCTATGTCCGTTCTCCAACAGAGAGACACACTGTTGTGACAATGGGGGATTTGTGTTGGAGGTATATTAAACACACACACACACAGAGAGAGAGAGAGAGAGAGAGAGAGAGTAAGAGACACATACACACACATATATAAAGCTATATAGGTTCATGCAAATCAAAGGTTTTATGCAACTCAATTAAGGAATCGTGTGAGAGACTCATAATGGTAGAGTATGTGCGTGTGTGTGCGTGTAATAGTGGCGGGGTCCATATTTTACACCCTCAGAACACAACAAAACAAAAAGCCAAGTCTTTAACAGTGCAGGCAGTCAGTTGTTAATAAATCAAAAACCAACAACAATACAGCACAGAAGACAAAACTAAAAGATTTGTCCTTGATATTGAGTCTGATGGATGCTGGTACAGAACTGGAGGCCTGGACCAAAAGGTAAGGGACTGATCAGAATCTGGTGTTGTTTGTCTCCATTACTTCAGATTTTACTCTTCAATTATTACTTCTATTTTAAAACTACTTTCAGATCTATCTATCTATAGATCTATAGATCTATCTATCTATCTATAGATCTATCTATCTATCTATAGATCTCTCTATCTATCTATCTATAGATCTATTTATAGATCTATCTATCTATAGATCTATAGATCTATCTATCTATCTATAGATCTATTTATAGATCTATCTATCTATAGATCTATAGATCTATCTATCTATCTATAGATCTATTTATAGATCTATCTATCTATAGATCTATAGATCTATCTATCTATCTATAGATCTATTTATAGATCTATCTATCTTTCTATCTATCTATCTATCTATCTATCTATCTATCTATCTATCAGACAGTCTCTCACTGGTGATTTCTTAGGTCTTCTTAGTGTAGCTGAACTACTTTTCTACAGTCTCTGTGAACAGAATACGTCTCACGCCAAACTCTTCTCCATGAAAGCATTCTGGTCATTTTTTTGGTCAATTTGCACGATGCCATTATGAGATTTGACAGTTTTTAACATTTCAACTCCAATCTGTTCTTTTCCCAGTGGCAGCTGAAAGCCTAAACTGAGCTTCTATATAAAGAGATGTGGAAAAAACTGCAAACAGCAAACTATAGGACGTGATCTTTGAAACTATGTTCTTGACTCTAACCTCAGTTTTACATAGAGTAACTTCACGGGAGGAATGTGTCTACGTCCCTGTCTCTGTAAAATGTCCACTGCCTCAGGCCAAATTAACTAGACCCTGCTGTTTTTAAAATACCTGCTCTGACAAGTTGAACCAGCTTTAACACCACCCAGGACTAACATCCGCAACGTACTCAGGAGACATTTACAGGAGATGTTGAGAGAGGCGACAAGCTGTGAGAGGACAGAGAATGCGCTTAGAAAATACCAGAATCACAACATAGACGCGACGAGCAGAGAAGGTCCTGGATCTTCACAGGTTTGTTTTTGTTTTGTTTTTTATATTTGATTAATCAAGTCACATTTTGTAAAAAAAAAGTTCTCTCTTTTAGGATCGAACATTTTAACAGCTGGCCAAAGCCACACTCCTTTTTCCAATGTTTCTAAATGCACCACGTGAAGTGTTTCACTCTCTTCTGCTCAGTTTGAGTCATGATTTAATAATATTTAGATTTTATTTTCAATTTATTTCTGACCATTTCTTCATTTGATTACTTTTTATTTCATGTTTTTTACGGTAAAGGCTTTAAACATGTATTTGGTTTACTTTATTTTAAGACTATTTCTTCTGTTTTTGTTTCACTGTTTTGATACCAAAAACATCAGATTTTTACGACTTGTAAGAAAGTTGTCGTTCTTCTGTGTTGTTGCCTGTCTGACAGTCAGATGTCAGAAGAAGCTGCAGCACAGTTCAGATTTTCAACTTCTTTTTTCAAGGTTTTTATTGATTTTTCTCCATATACAGATCCAAGACATGGAAACTTCAGCTCTTCCTTCACACAGTAGGCCCGACAACTATATTTTCACTGCTGAGATTTGCTGAGATTCTCATTATTATTGTTGCTTGTTTCAATCTTTTTTCAAAAATTTGCTCAGATTGGAGAACAGCAGCAGATCCTAGAGTCGCAGCTCATCAGTTTTCTCAGGATCTATTTCTGAGGAACAAAGATTTAGAGCCTCTGCGTCTCAGAGTGGACATCAGGCAAGACAAACAGACGCAGGACCAAGCTTTGGTTCACTTCTACAGCACAGATCATGTTCAATGGGCGAGGCAACTTTACTGCAGACTTGAAGGTACTGTGTAATTTTCAGGGTAATGTTCATGTCTGAAAAATGCTTTACATAGCTCTGTCCAAAAAAAAAAAAGAAATTCCTACACTGAGACGCAACTCAATTTTCGTGGAACATTCTTCGTGGAAACAACTGACCAGAGTTAGTGTGTGTGTTAACAGGTGATCCTGCCACAGGAGAGGGAGTCAATCGTCACATGATGTCAACAGTTATGTTCAAGCTGATCAGTGGCTTCCACATAAACTCAGGTCAGACACTGACATCAACAGTAATCAGAAAATGTCTCAGCAAAAACTGTCAATGACGTTTGGAATTGCCACTTGCAGATTCAACCATCACTAGAATCTTTGAAGGTGAATCCGATCACCTGATCCCATCAGTTTCTGCAGATCTGATCGATAACCGCCTGTTCACCATTGCTGGTAGAATGATCGGACATTCCTTTCTGCACAGTGGACCCAGTTTTCCAGGTCTAAGCCCGGCTGTCCTACATGTCTTGTTTGGAGGATCACTGGAAACCGCGCCCATCACATTAGAGGACTGCCCAGACCTTGACATCCGCAGTGTTGTGCAAGCGGTGAGGACTGTGATGTCACACCGCTATCCTGATCTTTCATTCTTCCTTTCATTCAGATACCTATGACTTTTTTTTTCTTCTGTTTTAATTCCAGCTCCGAGGAGATGCTGACATTGAAGACAGCGAATACGTGCATTATCTCTGTCTGTACGCAAACCTGCCTCTGCCTAATGTCACCAACAGAAAGTGGCTGGCTGAAAAACTACTCTTTCATGCAGTAAGAAACCGTACATTAATTTAAAAGCACTCTGTTTTTTTGTTTCTACCAATGAACAGTTAGGATTTTTAGGTTTCTATGTTTTAGGTGATTGACAAGACAAAGTTTCAGATCGATCAGCTACGGAAAGGTTTACAAGACACAGGAATTTGGCCGCTGCTTATCCACAGGAGCGATGTAATCCCAATTCTGTTTCCAGGAGAATCGGACGCACAATTAACACCACAGGTACCACTGCAAACAGCTGTATGGATGATCTCACGTGTCCTTTTGTTCAAACGTTTACTTCAGTCTCAAGTTACCTCTGGGTTTTAAAAGCTCTGCCTCCATTGTCCCTGTACTTCTATAGTATATAGTATAGTCTATAGTAGAGGAAGTATCCACGTCATTTTTCTTCCCTAAAACTGTTCCTCAATTCCTACACATGAATCTGATGTTTCTAACGTGCATAGATTTGAAAGCGAAGGCTAAGAAATGTTTTTACATAATTCTATTTCTGTGGAGTTCAACTAAATTCAAGTAACAAGTGGGAAGCGGTGAGCAGAGGAATCCTCTGTTTTTTTGTTTCCCTGCAGTTTGACAAGAACTATACACATGAATCTGATGTTTCTAACGTGAAGATTCAGAAGATTCACTTAAGCTTAGATTTTAAGTTGGTTCTATTTTGTTTTTCAGATGATCTTAGATCAAATTGTATGGCCTGAATCCCTTACCATCATATTCGACCAGTTTTACACCCCAGATGACGACGACTCAGGGGTCGCAGACACTGATCGAGTGTCAGGTTATTTAAAAACCTTCATTAAAAATGGTGGGTGTGGTTTCCACACTGAGGCCAGCCTCATGTGTTGCCGCTGTTTTAACCGTGACTATCTGCTGTTTCGAACGACACAGCGACCCCCGCAGATCTGAAAAGCCTCACCAGGTTCTGGACCGGCTGGGAGCTGCCGTCAACAGAGATGAAGGTGGAGGTGGTAAACGCGCTGCTTCCCACAGCGTACACATGCTTCGAGAAGCTGCGGCTGCCCAGACATTACAACAGCTATAGAACTTTTGACATAGATCTGAGGGCCTGTATCTCCAGCAGCTACAGTGGATTTGGCTGTACATAAAGAACCAACGTCCAGTTCAGTCGCAGATTTGTTTCAAAAAAAAAAAATTAAAAATTAAAAAAATGTAAACTGCTCTGGTTTTTTGATGTTTTGGTGTTTTTAATAAATCAAATACAGATGTTTATAGAAAATATGTTATATAAATGTATTTAATGTCAGATTTATCCTATTTAAAGCTTCTAATTTGCAAACAGCCTATAACCCTATAAAATTATTATAATTAATAATTCTTTAATTCTCTCTAAAATTCTTAATTAATTGAGTTCTCTACCATTTCATCTTTTATACCCACCCAATGTTTCATCTCTACCCATTAAACTCTCCTTATTCATTTTTCTTTACCCCCTTCTCTTCCTTCTTCTTTGTCTTTATCTGCCCACACCTCTTCCACCTGCTTCACTTTCTTTTCTACTTCATTCTTCTTTTTATACTCGTTTCTTCTAATCCGTCTGTATACTTGTTTATCTATAGCTCAGATTTTAGCCGGTTTTCCCCTGTTCATTCTGGTTTTTTTCCTGCACCTGCTTCCTGAGTCTTTTAAAGTGTGCTATCTGCTCTTGCATTGTTGTACCACTAGAGGTCAGTCTGTCTAAAGATACCGGAACGAAGTCAAACTTTTAGGTGTGTTTATGCTGCAAGTACTTAGACTTTGAATAATTTGTGAACATTAGTTTTTTTAAATTAATTTTTATTCCTTTCTGGTCTGACTTGTCAGTTTTTATCCCAGTTGTTCACTGACTGACCTGAGGATTGTTTAGTCTCGAAGGACCAACTCAGACATGTCCAACATCTTTGTCTAAAAACGATTTGTATACTTAATAATAAAAGTGCTAATCACATTCTGAAACCAAACCTCTGCCACAGGCTTTTAGAACATTACTTATAAAACAATTATGATAAATTTTCATTGTAGTGTCTTCTCTTGAACATTTATCAAGCTTTAAAATCATTTAAGCGTCACATAATGATGATGTATTTCAGTTTTCTTGTCCATCAAACTTCAGCTGTTTAACTGTTTTGATGATGTTCTGAGTGATGCTAAGAATAAACTTTCCTGGAGTGAGAAAGAAAAAGAGAGAGAGAGAGAGAGAGATTGGTGAGGGTGTGTTTGTGGGGATAGTGGGGAGGGGGGTATGTTTAAATAAAGGAGACCTCCCCTCTGTTTTATCCATCCTTCTTTCGCTGCTTCATTTCTGTCTTCTCCTGCCATTTTGGTAAGTTGCTTTTTATACGATCTTATATAACAGAAAAAAAAAATACATAAAAGACTTCTGACTGCGAACATCATCATTTTGTTTTTAAATTTAACTTGAAGACAATTTAAAGAATGCACAACGATGATTTCGAAGAACTAACAAAATCAATATAAATAAAAATGTAGTGCCTTGGCTATGGTTTAAAAAGTGGGTTTATAAATGGTAAAAACACATCCTCACCATGGTTCATACTGGCGTCTGGTGACATGAGACAAAACATTAGGAAAACATTTACTGCCATTTAACAAGTGCTAATTACAATAATAATTAAATATTTTGATCTTTAAATGTCTTAGTATATATATATCATATATATATATAAATATATATCATATATAAAGTCACATGTCAAAAAGTATGTTCAATATATATCTTGTGATACTGCTCTTTGAAGTTTGTTGTAAAATCGAATATACTGTATATATGTATATATTTCTGGACTAAAAAGACAAATAAAGAAACACAAAGACCAAGTAACTTGAGCCACCGAGACAATAATCTGTCCCGCCTCAGACAGAAGACAGAACTGATGAAGATTTTCTGAACTGATTCGTCAACGTTTTACTAAGAACATGTCTGCCCCCTGCTGGTCAACGTACACTGCACAGCCAGCTGTACTGTATACACCTTAAATACGGGCTTGACTCAAAAACGTCAGTCCTTTACAAAATAAAATGTTTGTATGAAATGCGTTGCTAAATCAGTTACTAAGTTAAGGAAAGGTTCTGAAATAAAGACCATCTGATCCTCTTTAAACTATTAAACCTCTAAACGGAAGATCATCTGAGCTTCTGACCTAAAGGAGGCTCTGGGATGAGAAGTGGACCTCAGTATCAACAACAATGACAGCACAATGACCAGCATGAAAGAAGATCTACACAGAGAGCATGTGGAATCTCTGCTAGTTATCGTCAGTAAACCCCTGATCTGAAAGTATAAACTCAGCCTCCACAGCTGTCTCTGTCTCCCCTCCAAACCCCCCACGCATCCCCCCGATCTATTTGGAGGAACAGTCCACTCTAAATTCCTCTTTAACAGATAATCCCAAAAAGAAAGACGAGAATGAGAGACAACTATCAGTCTGGAATTCTGCTAATCCATCGTCAGAGAGTTTCTAGGTAACGTCACTTACAGGTCAAACCAAATTTAAAGGAAAAGAAACACAGTTTGGTGACAAACCAAGATAAGATAAGATAAAACAAAAAAGGACAGGAGGATTCTCATTGGTTACTGATTTGATAATGTGATGTGCAGGAGGGGATAAAATGTAATTGTAAATGTGTCAAATGTCAAATTAGACGAGATAACCTCAAAATAAGGAAATTCTCAAATGTTCTGTTTTTGTCAACAGACCAACAATGCGTTCACTGTTGGTATAGGAAAAAAGAAGTATTAATAGTGTTTTCTAAAAAAAATTACACACAAATAGTAAAAAAGGCAACAGCAAAACTGTGTCAATAACATGTGTAAAAGGAAACAGAAATGAGGAGCAGTCAAGATACACAGACTGATTTATCTGTTGAGTGGCTTCACTTCAGACAAGTGAGCGTCAGTGGATTAGAGTGGAGGTAAACAGAGGTCAGTTGTCCGCTGCCAAGAGAGCAAATGTCAGCGCGAGAAACTTCCCACTGACAGTTTCCATTAACCTGCACCACATTTTCACAGAGGAAGAATGAGGAAAGAGGATCTGCTTCTGTTGCTGCTGCTACTAGGAACACTGGAGAACAATCGCTTGACAACTGTTCACTAAATATGTGTGTGTGTGTGTGTGTGTGTGTGTGTTAAGGTCTAATCTCCTGTGTGTCTCCTCCAGTGAAGGCTGATCAGCATCAGGATGCCAGAGCATGTGTGAGTGACCAGGCTTTGTGTTCTTATTTTAGACACTGTTCTCACTTAAACACAAATCTAAAACAAAACTGTTTCCTAACACTTATGACTGATTTGTTCTGTCTTTTTTTTTTTACAGCCCAGAGGTGAGTTGGAGCTATTTTTAAAAATATTATAAATTTCAAAATATATATGGTATTCACAGGATATACTACTTATGTCTTATTCAGAGTGGAGTGTGCTTTGTATGCCTTTGTTATCTTAATAATCTGTTCTCCAAATATGGGGTATTTTAGATCACAGAAGACTCTGTCTACAGCTGCCTCCTGCGTTTAGTTTGTGTCTGTGACGTTATTTTGAAGTGAAGATTTGATACAATTTAATCTAAGGATGTCACGATTATAGATTTCCTTGGTACAATAATGGTCAGGGAAGTACAAGAAAAATGACAATAATCCGATTGTAATTAAACAACACAAAAAAAAATCACCACAGAACTGAAAACAATAAAATAAACTGACATACAGTATGTACTACATACTGTATATCTCTCTGAGAAAACACATGTGAAGGACTACAGGACCTTTATGTAGTCAATCTTATAAAACATAATTATATTGCTAAATATATGTCCCATTATTTGTATTTGTATATTTAAGTATCTATCTATATAGGACCAATCAGGGCAATTGTATAAATTAATTATTAATTAATTAAGGAAATCAATTCCCAGCCATACCAGGTGTTTAAGTTTATTTTAATTGTTTAATAGTTTGTCTAATTTTATGCAGTCACATAGTGAACTTGTCTGTTATTTTGGTTCGTTTATTTTATATTTAATAATGACATACACATATTAGTAATGAAAGAGACGGATATCCTATAGTGCTGGAAGCACAAGCCCAACATTTACATTTACTGATGGGAGAAAGCTAAAGAAGCTAATGCTAAATGTTCACAGACTGAGCACTTAGAAAGCTAAAGAAGCTAATGCTAAATGCTCACAGACTACATAAAGTTTTCTTCTACAGGTCATTGAACACTGACACTGAAACTGTCCGACAAAAAATATATTTTTTAAATGAAATAAAAACAAAAAAACAATTCAATGTTACGTTAAGAAAACGTATTTACCTTTACTTTGGCGAACAATATCCGGTAGTTGTCCCGCAGGTGATGAAACATGTTGAATGTTCAGTACTTCATTCTTTTACCGCCATTAATGGTTTAAATGCTGGCAAGTTCCTTTAGTCATTTAGTCGGTAGTCAAAATAATCCCATGTGGCTGTTTTTACGCTCTTTTTCAAGGAAATTTCTCCTTCCGCCATTTCCCCCACGTAGACACGTCTCTCTTCTGCAACTTGCAGGGACCGAAAAACAGCAACACACGCGGTAATACCCGGGTGTTGTGTAACTTTGTTTTCGTTCCCCTTGAGTTGCGCTCAACTATAGTTCCGTGATATTACTTTCCAACGGTATTCAGGAAACGAAACGATAAACGAACTGTAGCGCTTGGTAACTGTCTACTAATTGTGATATCGAGTGATTGTTAAATTCCTACTTTAATCATAAACGTGATACATTCACAGAATAAACGAATGTTGTCAAAAGACATGATTAATCAATCCAATTAATATTATTTCAGAGAAAACCAAAGATATCGGCTTCAAGGAAGCTGATGCTCAAGGTCAGTAATGCGATGTAATACACATGTTTAACTGCAGGGGACAAGTGTGTTCTTTCTGCTACTGACAATTTATTCTTAGCCTTTTAGCCTTGTTTTCTTCTGTTGACTTACGCCTGCACAGAGTCTGATGGTGGCAAAGGCTAAAGAGGAGCTAGAGCAGGAAATCCTGGACAAAGAGGAGGAGAAAGACAGGTATCTCTCAGAGAGAGCGCCCCCTCTCAAAACTAGTGGTCTGAGCCTCGCACAGCTGCAGGTAAAACATGGCAGGTTTAAAGTCTCAAAAATCTCTTTAGGAGGAAATACATCTGTGTTTTATTGTTTATCGTTTGGTAATGTGCAGGATCTGTGCAGAGAACTTCATGCCAAAATTGATGTGGTGGATGAAGAACGATACGACATTGAAGCTAAAGTCATGCTCAACACACGTGAGGTGACTGCTTGAACCATCGTATCGGTCATTTCCAACCAATGCACAGAAGCTGCTCTGCTGCTAATGCAATAGAGGAAATTGTCATTTTAAGCCCAAATGAGCTGGTGGTCCACTGCTGCCTCTTGTGGTCAGTATGTGTCACTGTGGTAAATCTGAACAAAAGGTTTTAAACATTTACAACACAAAATACAGGGATAAACAACTGCTGCGTACCTGTGAGATCAAATGACGGACTTTGGTGTGCTCGACTTTTGACAGATTTTACAGATTGGATCCAGCAGCAGGGGGTGCTCAAAGCTCAATCATCGCTGTCTCATTGTGCAACAGTAGGATGTCTTGCGGTCTCTTAACGTGTATGTATCCATGGCCCAGATTAAAGACTTGAACATCAAGGTTTTGGACCTGAGGGGGAAATTCAAGAGGCCAAATCTGCGCAGAGTTCGTGTGTCTGCTGACGCCATCCTGCGCTCTCTGCTGGGATCCAAACACAAGGTTTCCATGGATCTGAGGGCCAACCTGAAGTCTGTGAAAAAAGAGGACACCGAGAAGGTGTGTGTTTCGCTAATACACACACAAATACACACGCAACAAATAAGTACACAAACAGTTGTGTCCCTCAGGGACAGAGTAAAGTTTCAGATGCAAACATGACATCATCACTTCAAAAACAAAACACCCGAAACATCTGCCTGTTTATGTGTTACAAAAACACACAGTGTGTGTGTGGGGGGGGAGAGAGAGAGAGAGCGTGAGAACATTACACAACCTCCTCATTGTACACTCCTGGAGTTGGGATGTGATGGTTGTGTGTTTGTTTGTGTGTGAACCAGTTGAACAGGTACATTTTAATGGTTTTCCCTCAGGAGACAATTAAATGTCAACAATGCGTCTTGGCTGTTCTTTCATTCAACCAAGAGAGATTTTCAAATCTGGTTTCTATGAGTATTTATCCAATTTTACCAGCACTCACCAACATGAGTGCCCTCTGCGGCTTCAGTCAGAATGATAAAATCCACTTCAGTTCAAACTAAGAGCGCTTTTTTCCCCCAGACATTCACATTTTTTAACAAGCATGTATTTTATCAGTTTAAACACAGCAGTCTAAACGTTAACACTGATCAGACAGCTGTGATAATGCCTTGTGCATCACACAAACACACACACAAAAATGCATTTTCTTCTCGTTCTTTGAGCAGAAGCGTCCAGTGGAAGACAGCGACTGGAGGAAGAACGTGGAGGCCATGTCAGGAATGGAAGGAAGAAAGAAGATGTTTGACGCAGCTAAAGGTCCTGCGCAGTGAACGACGGCAGAGTTGTCTCCTCTTCTGCTCCGGCTGGTTTTAACACACTGCTGTCTTTTTTTTTTTCCTATGCCAGGAAGGGTTTTTACTTCACCCCGCCCTTCTTAGATAACGTTTTAAAAGGTACAGATCTATGTGCGATTATTGCGTCAACTTTTTTTTCTATAATTATTTCACCATTTCAGCACAGGAACACTTACTGTACGTGAGCCTTTCATTTCCCTGATAGACAAATATGGTCTGCTGCTGACATAATGGTATGAAAAGTGATCTAATAAAATGATTTGCATGTTTTATTTTCTTCACTGTGGAGAAATCCTTATCTTGTCTTATGGTTTTGCAAACCTGTAAGGCGACAAACTCTTCTGTTGCATTTACATGAGAACATATAAAATACACAAATAAAATACTGGATATAAAACTGACTTATTTCCTAATTTGTGGAATCGTTAGTTTAAGGCTGCGGGTTTCACACAAATTTATAAATTAAATTTTTGGATGGATTTTTTTTTTAAAGTAATCTGTGTAGGCTTAGCGGTTTGCACCTATCGTCGAGCTGCTCTGCTTCTCACGCTAGCATGTAGCTAAACTGGCGTTTTTTGATCCTAAAAACTCACGACCAACTCAATCCAAAAATACTTGGAGGCAGCACACATTAATATGGCTTCACGGCTGTACAGAAAAACCCAAACGCGTTGAGAATATACAGTGATATACTGTGAATATACAGTTTTTTTTACGCTTAACAACTGTAATAATAACAACATTGTTCCTGTTTACGTCACTGTTTGTTTGATCAGGAACAGGTTGTGACGGTGACGGTAATTTTTTAAATGAGAGAAGCAACATTAAACGGGTGTCACGTTAAAACAGGCTTCTGCAGATAAGCACCTCTGTCTTCCAGTTGTAAAACAATTCTTTTTGCATGTTCATCGTGCATCAAGTGTTTGATAAATGCAACTTAGTCGTTGTTACTTAATCTGTCTGGAAACAAGGAACCTGCACACAGGGTGTGTTAGAAGGAAATACACTATTATTATTGTATTTTACGGAATTTCTTTAGAATATTTCAACGAAAAAAAAAAACAACAACCCTTTTTTGAGTTATATTTACACACTTGTAAAAACTCAATCTGAATTCAACTTGTGTGGGTGGGTGTGTGTGTGTATATGTGTTGGGTCATAGTCCTTTACACCAGGTGAGGGATGTGGCCACACACTACACAGTAAAGCAAATACTGGCTCACATAATAAAGTGCAGTCAAGCATTGAACTGAATTCCACCTGCAGAAAAACACTGGAAGTGTTTCTTCGTCTGGGGCCAGATTCACAAAACACATTTGTCTCATTGGACTTAGCCATGACGTACCGTCATGCTAGCAGCAGTTTATTCAAAAATTTGACAGACAACTTAAAAAAAACAGAGTTAAAATTAGTGTTCTACTTTCTCTCTATTACTTTTTTACAAGATTCTATGATAAACAGCAGACAAAATTTGCAGATGAAAATAATATTCGGCACATATATAACTGATATATTTATTTAAATTTGTGATAAGACTGTAATCACTATCACCGTTGTCAATATACGTGAAGCTTCCTCCTCTTTAGCTCTCTCTCTCTCTCTCTCTATTACCTGTGGCAGGTCATGTGACTCCGCCTCCACTACAGGGTAAAGGTAGATTCCTCCTCCTGTTTTGTGTCAAACTAAACTTGTCACTCTGTCCGTGTGTGACAGGAACTGACCGGGGGGATTTAAACTGTATTTGAAATACAGGCGTTATTGTTTCCGTCTTTTACTGCGAGTTGAACATGTCCATCAGTCGGAAGAACTGGTCTGCTCTGTCCAGGTGAGGGTTTTGCTGCCTCTCTTATATTATAAATGGTGATAATACTGGTTAAAAATAAAATCCATGTATAGAGCATAAAGGTAGTTCATCTCATGTCTTGTTTTTTAAGTTCCAGAATAAAAAAAAAAGCTTGAACTGAAGTTATACAGTAAGAGAATGACAAACATTAGCATACGTACTAGCATATCAAACGCCACTATCTTTTCGGTAATTTTGTATTTTAGATGATTATTTATTATAAATAGTGTTTACAGGAGTGTTTAATCAGCTCTATTCTCCTGCTGCTTAACGTTCATAGCACATGTAGGACACAGGTCAAACACTGAGCACTGGACTGACGGCTGAACTTACTGTAAACTGAAAGCTGCTGGAGTAGCATGAGAAATGCTGCTGTCACTGTTTTGTATGTTTTCGACAATACTCGACAACAACAACCATTTTGGGACAAGGCGCATCAATGGAGCCACTTGTTAGCATACACAGCTAAAGGCTATCTTTTAGGCAAATGACCTGTGAGGATTTTTTAGGATGTAAGTGTGATTCCCGAACCCTGGTCCGTGGGTCGTTTGATACCCGGCCGGGGGGAAATATTTAAACATTAACTTTTAATTACTAACTACTTTCCATTTACTTTCTTCAATTAAAGATAAGATAATATCTTTGAGATTCTGTCAACAGAATGAAGGTGTTTTTATTTTGAAATTTTACTGCTTCTTAACGATCCGTTCACAATCCTTCAATTATCAAAACGGTGCTACTGGTCCGCAATTCCAGACGGTACAGGCCAAACGGTCTTTGGTGAAATTCAGACTTTATTTTCTGTCTCAGTCTTGCACGACAGCGGACGGTGGAGGATGAGGAGGAGGTGGAGAGGGAGAGGAGGAGGAGAGTGAAAAGCTCCAGCAGCTGTTCTGACAAGGACGCGCCCAGCAGAACCACATCCTCTAATGACAGTCCTGGATCTGACTCCAAAACGGAGGAAACCAGCAGGTTAATCCGAAACCTTTCAGACAGAGTTTTGTTTTTGTACCAGTCAAAAGTCTTCTTTGGAGCAAAGACTATCGCACTGTAATTGCCCCAGCCTGGGGTCAATAAAGTATATCTATCTATAAGTCAAAGTCAAACAATGAATGAACTTCCTGGTGAAGGCATCTCTCAGCGTAAACTTAACTCTTTATCGTGCAGCTGTTTTTACTTTGATCACTCATTGAATTTCAGCCCTAGATGGAGAGTTTTGATGAGCGTACATTTGTCTCAAGGCAGTGTGTCCTTTGTTCTCCAACCTGACACCACAGAAAAATGTGAGGAGCTGCTCAGACCCGCGGAGAAACCTGATTGGACTCTGGTCTGAGAGCTCCTCGCACTCAAAGACAATCTCATCGTTTCTGTGTGTGTGTGTGTCTCCAGCTTAGAGCAGATTCAGTTGGACTTCGTGGAGATGCTGCGGGTTCGTGATGAGACACGGAGGGTAAGACTTGTGGAGACACTGAGGAAACAGAAAGCAGAAGAGGAGGAGGAGGAAGAGGAAGGTGAACCCGTGACTTTCAAAAGAAATGAAAGAAGAAGAGGAACAGAGTCCAGGGTGGAGCCGCGGGGCAACATGAAAGAGGAGCAGGACATGGTATTTGCACCTGAACAGACCACGTCCACACAAGGACCAGCCTCTGGAAGCAGCGGCAGTGATGACACGAACCCAAATGTAAGACACGAGTGTCATGAGCCAAAAGTGTTTATCTTTCTGCTTTCATCAGAAGACGCACAAAGATACAGCAAATGACACGGATCGTTAAAATCCATAACGTCAAACCATAACATCATTTCACGGCCGAGGGATTAGTCAGTTTGACCTTAGCATTAGCGTTGATTAGCATCGTCACATGCAGCCTCAACTGTCAATCGCAAACTATCTACGTGGCCTTTTATTGTCTATTGTCCTCCGAATGAAATCATTATTTTAAGCAGAAACACAACGTCACTGTTACAGTTGAACAGTTTTACCCCCCACTGTCACAGGCAGAAAAACATAGCTAATTATTTACTAAAGATTATCAGAGCTATAAGCCTCGCAAAAAAAAAAGAAGAAAGAATTAGAACATTTACTAATGTCCAACTGAAGTCTATTCATTGTTTATTAAGGAGTCGTTTCCTCACCTGCGTTTCCTGTAAATGTGAAATCGTTTCCTCACCTGCGTTTCCTGTAAACGTGAAACTTCTTAGGATCAACATAAGGAATTTTACTTTGCTACCATAACCTTCTGTCATTGTTCAACTTGTTAGCCACAAGTGATCATGTAAATCATGTGTAAAACTTTGATAAGGTGTGTTTATGGTTATAATTCAAGCCTTATCTAGCGGTGTTGTGTAACAGTGGGTGTGCCTCTGCCAATGTTGACTGTTTCTCTCTGCAGGAAAACAGAGAGCCGCTGAGAAAAGACCCTGATACCCATGCAAAATCCAGCCCCGCACGCAAGTTTGTCAGGTTCAGACCTTTTTTTTTTTTTTAATTATACGCAACAATTAAACAAAGATAAATATGTTTGGTAAAGCAGCCAAAAGCCACTTGCAGTAAAACTTTAAATACTTCGGTAACAGTGAACATACAAGGAAGCGGTTGGTTAATTTTAAGCTAATAATTTAAGATAGGTCATGTGTGAAAGTGGACGAAAAACTGAGATCTTAAACTGCAATTATTGGTATTTTTAAGATGTGTGTCGCATACCCACAAAAGAACCAAACAGTAGCCACTGCTGGCCAGCTATGGTGCTGCAGCTAAAATGTCTTTTCCCTATAGCCGCAAAATGACACTTGGAGAATCTTGGCTTATGTTTCATACAACGATAAACTAGTAGAACACCAGCTTATCATAAATCCCAAACAGTACATTCTGTCAGTTACGCAAACATTTCAAAATGCATATATTGTACAGACTAGCATACGCATCACAACCACTTTGACTACTGTACTATAATAGTACTACCAGTGGATCGATTAGCATTACAAAAGTCTAATGTCATTAACTTAGGTGAGGTAAACCAGTTACTGTATATAATTAATGATATGCAAACAAGGTTTCCTGCTAGCAGAATCATGATCATTGCAGTTACTTTTACCAGCGTTTTGTGTCAGATTGACATTTTATATCTAATACACAGTCAAACTTACTGTATAAAATACTACAAAAATATTACATACGAGTCCATTAAATGTGTCTGTTTCACCAGACTTGATGGTAAGATTATCTGGAATGCTCACACCTGGTATGCATGCCCTTGAGTTACCTTTACTACCGCTAGTGTCAGAATGACACGTTACATGTAAGACACAGGAAAACATAAAAAAACTACAACTACATATAAAACCATTTAATGTTAGTGCTTCATCAGACTTTATGGTATTATTACTCCATCCATCACATCAGTTTGTCACGTACCAGTTCTTGGTAAAGTCAGTCACTGTTGAATTTGTGTAAAAAAAAAAATCGAATTATTCCAAAGGTGTGAAACCCAGAAAAAAAAAAAATCGAATTATTCCAAAGGTATAGGTTAAAAAAACAATGAAT